TTTCTAAAGAAATACCCCCTCTTCCCCGCTCTCAAAGCCATTCTGCACTGTATGCTTGCTGATTGTTTAAGCTGTGTGCAAAATGACGTCGATAACATGGATAAAATACTTAGTTTGAAATGAAAGGGAAAGTTGAAGTAATTAAAACGAAATCATGCAGTTTTGAAGCTAATTTTGTTTTTAGTTTTGAGCTATTAGAGAGGGGGAGGGGAGGTGGATAGGGAGGGAGAGTGTTAGGTAATATTTCTGGAAAAAAAACACAATACCAACCACTACTTACTAGTATTAGAATTGAGGGGTTTCATTTTTGGGGAACTACTTATAATAAATAAGTACCAAGAAATTCTGTTCTTGGGATTTCTATTCCTGGGATTCAAAAAGGTGATAGACTTGAGGAACACTAGAAGTTTGAAGTTGAGACAAACAATCACTCAGATGGAACTTATTACATTACATATACTCAATCATTATTTGTTAACTTACAGTGTACATAACTGCTTGACCCAGTGACTGCCTTCTATGAAGAACACATGATAATAGCACCATGAAAATTGCTTGAATCATTGTAACAATTGTCACAATTACAAAGAGTTGGACACATGCACTGATAGCTTCRTCAAAGCTAAACTTCAGAGGACTGTCTTCACCATTATAGAGAGCTGTTGTGTTTTCATAGTATTTGAATGGGTATTTCACTGTGATATTGAGCCAGTTGACACTATCCTCAGTACGTAAAGAGGCATGATCTTTGAATGTCACACAAAATGGAAAAATCAAAAGGGGAAACACCTGAAACAAAGATAAGAATCAGGAAGAAAAACTGATAAGAATAAATCTATTTATTTATAACTGCATAATTCACACCACTATTTGATGACGATTTTTCATAACAAGTACTACATTTTTTCTCATTTTTTTTCTAAACAAACTAGTCAAGCATTAGAGTAAATGGCTGGAAGAGTGAACAAACATGTTGGAACATGTTCCAGCACAGTAAGCTTACATCAAAAAATATTTAGGTAACTATGGGAAATCGTGGATGTCGTTGATGAGCTAAACTTCTCTAATTCCCATTCCTGGATAACTTRAAGTATTAGTTCCTATTACAGATGCATGCCTCTTTTAAGAACGTCCAAATAATAGGGTCTTTGTATTGTGATTAAGCTGTATTATTTACCGTCCTTGGTCGTCAAAGTGGGAAGAAGGGCATAAAAACAGTGCCTTTTGACAAGTTTGACAAATAACGTATCAACTCAATTTGAAGCTAAGACCATATCAAAAGTGCTGTTTCCTGATTCAATAATGAGGAAGAGGAGCACAAATAATCATATGAGGTCTGGCTGGCTGGGGCGCTAAACGAAAAACTCACGATTCTTACAATTTCGCAAATCTTTATCCAAAATAAGTGATGCTTGAAGATTTTCCATCTTGACTCGCCATGAAATAGCAGAGCCATCCCGATCCAACGATGTTAAGCTATGAGAACAGTTCAAAGTAAAAGCTATTCAAATTTTCAGTAACAGGCCAGTACGAGTTAGCACCTCGTGGCCTTTATGCATTACAGAAACAAACAAAATCTTGTACCCAGAGCCCGCACTATTACCATCCAGCGGAAGTCAATGCGTGAGACTCCAATCTCGAGCCCAGAGTCTTCACGGCTAATGTCAGCGGTATGCTGACGCCGGAAAGACTCCAATCTCGAGCCCAGAGTCTTCACGGCTAATGTCAGCGGTATGCTGACGCCGGAAAGACTCCAATCTCGAGCCCAGAGTCTTCACGGCTAATGTCAGCGGTAT